ATTCAGTACTGGCTTGGAGATCACCTTAGCTATTATGAGAGTGGCAGAGTGTCTGGGAGATTTGAATAAGCAGCTCTTAATCATATAATCTCTGACTTCACATCTTAGACACAGGCCTTTCTTATTTCATTGATTAATCTCTGTCTGATTTATCAATTTGATATAGTGAGTGCTTGAGATCATAGCACCAGGAGAGAGATCCATCAGATCATCAGCAGAAGCTTGAGACTGGTTTCATTGATCAAGAACAGCATGACAAAGTGAAAAGTGAGAATTAGATGTTGTATGATCTGAAGATGATCTGCTCTCACAACATTTAGACCACTGCATTAAAGTCTTAAGCTCAGAGAGTTGATGATCAACTAATCTAAGCTCCTTGCAGTAATTCTTATAGAGAGATAGTTCTCTTACACTCATCATACATTCCCTCAGCTTCATGCTTAGAGTGGATTTCAAATACCTCTTTTTAACATGATTATCTCATTTATGACTACCAGCTCTCAGCAGTAGCTGATTAAATTCAAGCAGAAAGTCAAAGAGAGCTCTTTTACTCTGTCATAGATTGTTGAGCTTTTGCATAGTCTTTTTCTGTCATGCAGAATTACTAAAGAGCATGTGTGTCTGCTTCAATAAGCTATCTACTGTGAAGTTGATCTTGTCTTTATTATTCTCAACTTAGGGGTAAACTTGAGCTGCTACCATTTCTTTCAGTCTTGAGTATACATATCAAGTACATTCTTCATTATTACCTAAAGCTTTCTCATTGATCTTAAGTTTTGATTGAAGCTTTAGCTCTCACTGAGGGTAGTGCTTCAGATTAGAATCATCATACTTCTCACAGTCTGATAGCTTGGTCTTTGATCTTCTGACTGCAATGAGTGATTATAAGTTCAATTAAGAGAGAATTGATGTTGAGATATTCAAAGCATGTCATTGATTAGCTGTTTCAGCTTGCTGAGCTACTATTAAATTTCTGTTCTTATGCTGAATCTGTTCCTGCTATTGGAGAAAGGTCATTCATTATTGTTCAAAACTGCTGAGGGTGTCTCTGCTTATTGCTTCATATTGATTCATTTGTGTATTTGTTGTACAAGTCTGCTGCTTTATCTCATTCAGCTAGATATTTTCAATGTTGCTCATTCATTTGATAGCATGATTGCTAACTCAGTCTATTCATATACCAGTGCTATCATTGAACTTTGTGATATAGAATTTAAGACTCTCAATAGCCTGTTATATATCGGCATATTTGCTGAGCTTCATGATATAGAATTAAGACTTCCAGTGACCTATCAATGAAAGAAGTGAAGCAATTCATAATGTAGAGGATTAAGCTCTAAGAACTAGAGGCTAGTCCTCCTATATAACAAGAATGAATTGCTTAGGAAAGGAAAGAAAAGAATGAGATGAGAACACAAGCTTAAGTAAGCTCGCGTAGCATGATCACGTGCGCATGTGCAAACAATGGCTAGGCTGAGTCAGCCAGCCAGAGTGAATCTAGGGGCTCAGTCTCTTATATTAACAAAGACTCAGCAGCTGGGTGCCACTAGCTTGCTGTGAGAGATGTCAAAATGTGAAATTAATGTTCAAGTCTTCTGATGTCCAAGATTATCAATTTCATGTTGCATAGATTTCCTTCAATATGATCTCATCTACAGATAATTAATTGCATCCTTGAAGCTTTTCAGCAAGCTACTTCTAATTGAGGAAGGTGTGTGTGTATATTATGAAGACTTTCACAGACCTCATCCATAGAATGTGTAGTTTCAAAAAATCAGGAATGTTGAAATCATTCTCTACCAAATACATGATAGGGATTGAGATGTTTTCAACTTCAATTATCACAGTAGTGGTGGAATTCTTTTATATTTTCTGCACTTTTATAGGGAAAACTATGTCAGATATATCAATAATATTATCAGAAGTAGGACTCCACATGTGATAGATTGACTGGCTGTGAAATTCAATAAGTTTGCATAATTCAGCCTGAGTGAATAGTTTATCCACTGGCTTCTGTGATTCATGATGATAGACAAAAACATCAGATTCAATCTCACAGAAGTGAGTGATCTACAGTGATATGTTTATTAATGCTGAAAAAGAAATTGTATGAGAACTACAGATGAGCTTCTTGCTGTCATCATTTATGATTGCAGGTTAATACTTTCCATTATATAAGATTGTAGATGTGAATGTATTATTTGTGATTGAAATAACTATTTTTAAAATATCTGCTTAGAACTTCTTTGAAATTTCCTTTTCTATAATGATTGCTCTGGCTAATGTCATAATAATGCAGATGTCATGTTCAGATACATTATCTTGATGAGGTGATTGAGAGATAGTTGATTCTCACACTATGCTGTCAGCAATCATTAACATTGTTATCTATTGTGATTGAAAAACCCTGTCTATATCTGTCCTGATGTAGGCAGGGACTGAAAAACTGAGGTTCTTAATGAACTTAACTCAATGAGAATAATAATCAAATGCTTGATCTTTACTATATAAGAAATAGATTCATCTGAATTATGTTACATCATCTGTAATTAATATGAAATATTTTGTGTCTTAATGAGATTCTATAGAATGATTGTCTGTATTATTCAATGTGCAGCTATCATCTGTCAGATCAATATGAATCTATTCTATTGATCTTATAGTCTGTAGCATAGAGGTGATTGAGTATTTACATATCATACCTGCTTTGACATAGATGTCACAAAAGAAACTAGTCTTAGAGCTTTTGATGTGAATACTGAATAGTGAATTCTTTGCCAAAGTTATAATAACTTCTGTGTATATATGCCTCAGGTCAATATGCTACTCAGTAAACATTTTCATAGCTGTAGGTGATTCTTGAGATTGAGGTTGAGTATTGATAAGATCATTGTCACCAGTGATAGCCAAGACCTTAGTATAATCATTATTGTATATATGTGATTTTGATGTGAAATAGATTACTTTTGACTCATGATGAGTATCAACTTCTGATATCTTTTCAACTATTTTATAAATTGAACTCTGAGCTGTGTGAATCACAGTGAAAATAACATCATTAAGAGCCTTGATGATGAAATAGAACAAGGTGTTTGAATTTAAAAGTTCATATTGAAAACTCTGATCCTTCAACTTAGCAAAAGACACTAAGTTGACAGTAAGATTCAGAACATAATGAACATCACATGTAGATATATCCCCTCTGTTAGATTCTAGAATGAGATTTTCAATCTCTTTGATATGACTGTATCTGTCATCTGCTGTATGAATCTTGAGGTTACTGTCATAGATTTTTCATTGAATAATAGACTGCTTTTTCCTCATTATATGAAAACTTACACACATGTTGAGAAATCAAAACTTGGAGATAATGTCAGTAATTGCTGACAAAGCAATTGCTGCATTGACAGCAGCAGATTGTATCACTAGAAGATCAGAAAATTCAATCTTTTTATCATTCTTATTCTTCTTTTTGCTCTTTCATTTATTGTGACTGCTGATGTTGCTATTTTTCATGAACTTGGTAATCTTATTCTTATTTGCCTCCCTTCACTTTTCAGTGACAAGTTCAAGGTGTAATCACCAACAAGAGTTCTTAATATACTGATTTGAGTAGCAGATCTCACATTTGAAACTATTCAAATTTGTGGTGTCAGACAAGTTGGAGTTTGACATGGAGGAGGTAGCTGTGTTGACTCATGAAAGTTTGAAATATTCATTGGACTTGCTTGTACAATTCATTAACTGCTTTATGAGATTATCAATGTCAATATTTTTAATATGATCCTGGCTGATAGTGTAGAAATCATTTAAATGCATCTTGACAAAAGACTTTTAATATTCTTTCAAATCAATAAGGAAAAGATCATGATAGAAGTTCTTTGAGTCATTTGCCACTTTTTTATGATGTGTAATTAAGTAGTAGAATCTTCTTTGAAATGTCAAGTAATTATTGTTGATGTGTAGGGTAGTCAGCTTCTTCATAACATTGAGACATTCTTTCATCAAAGACATCACATATTTGACACCAATCTTTTTCCATAACATGGCAGTGTTGTCAGGTTTCAAGACTTCAATGATTGTATGTACAGACCTCAATAAGAATTGCAACATACATTGATAGAGTGCTTTGATTCAAATATTTCATTTTTTAGTGTCTAACATGTTTTGGCTAATATCATCTGGGCAGACATGTTAATTCTTGATTAGAATGTCAGTTCCACTAATGACTTCAGTATCCACAAGAATTTCCATACATCAGATTTGATAATTAGTGTCATTGAATGTAGTTACTGCCTTAGTATCTATAGCTCTTTGAACATTCTTTTGATATTCACAGATCTGAGATTTGAAATCATCTGCAGATATATTATTGTTGATATTTGAAGTGTTCTGATGTGTCATTTGTTGACAAAAGATCAACAAATCTGCTACACTCATTGTAATCATGCCACTCACATTAGAAGTAGACATTTGAGACTGGAGGCTTGAGGTTCCTTCACTAGCTATTATGAATTTGCATGTAGACTCAGAAGCAGATGTTTTGTCAGACTCATGACTTGATGAATTCATAATGTGATTTGAACTTGATTTCTGCTCCAGGTCTTCTAATTCTTCATTCTCATCTAGTGATGAGAATGCTCCAACAGCTCTAGAATATGATTATAAAAATTACTTTCTCTCTGTTAAAGGGGTAGATAGTCAAGTCATTAAATCAGAGAATGAACTCATTCAGATATGTACACAGCTGTTCTTAACATGATTTTTATTAAAAATCAGTTATTCAGGCTATAATCTGTGAGATGATTGAATCTTCTATTCAGAGAAGCTAGCTAGATTATTGCTATATTACATACAAATGATCACATGTGGGCGGGGTGGTCATTAGGGCAACGTCACTCAGGTGAGTGCTGCTACAGATTTATCTTCATCATGTGATCACACCCCACATGTGATCTAGTGAATCATGTAGTGGCATTCACCTGAGTGGCATTGCCCTAATGACCACCCCGCCCACATGTGATCACTTGTATGTAATATAGCAATAATTTAGCTAGCTTCTCTGAATAGAAGATTCAATCATCTCACAGATTATAGCCTGAATAACTGATTTTTAATAAAAATCATGTTAAGAACAGCTGTGTACATATCTGAATGAGTTCATTCTCTGATTTAATGACTTGACTATCTACCCCTTTAACAGAGAGAAAGTAATTTTTATAATCATATTCTAGAGCTGTTGGAGCATTCTCATCACTAGATGAGAATGAAGAATTAGAAGACCTGGAGCAGAAATCAAGTTCAAATCACATTATGAATTCATCAAGTCATGAGTCTGACAAAACATCTGCTTCTGAGTCTACATGCAAATTCATAATAGCTAGTGAAGGAACCTCAAGCCTCCAGTCTCAAATGTCTACTTCTAATGTGAGTGGCATGATTACAATGAGTGTAGCAGATTTGTTGATCTTTTGTCAACAAATGACACATCAGAACACTTCAAATATCAACAATAATATATCTGCAGATGATTTCAAATCTCAGATCTGTGAATATCAAAAGAATGTTCAAAGAGCTATAGATACTAAGGCAGTAACTACATTCAATGACACTAATTATCAAATCTGATGTATGGAAATTCTTGTGGATACTGAAGTCATTAGTGGAACTGACATTCTAATCAAGAATTAACATGTCTGCCCAGATGATATTAGCCAAAACATGTTAGACACTAAAAAATGAAATATTTGAATCAAAGCACTCTATCAATGTATGTTGCAATTCTTATTGAGGTCTGTACATACAATCATTGAAGTCTTGAAACCTGACAACACTGCCATGTTATGGAAAAAGATTGGTGTCAAATATGTGATGTCTTTGATGAAAGAATGTCTCAATGTTATGAAGAAGCTGACTACCCTACACATCAACAATAATTACTTGACATTTCAAAGAAGATTCTACTACTTAATTACACATCATAAAAAAGTGGCAAATGACTCAAAGAACTTCTATCATGATCTTTTCCTTATTGATTTGAAAGAATATTAAAAGTCTTTTGTCAAGATGCATTTAAATGATTTCTACACTATCAGCCAGGATCATATTAAAAATATTGACATTGATAATCTCATAAAGCAGTTAATGAATTGTACAAGCAAGTCCAATGAATATTTCAAACTTTCATGAGTCAACACAGCTACCTCCTCCATGTCAAACTCCAACTTGTCTGACACCACAAATTTGAATAGTTTCAAATGTGAGATCTGCTACTCAAATCAGTATATTAAGAACTCTTGTTGGTGATTACACCTTGAACTTGTCACTGAAAAGTGAAGGGAGGCAAATAAGAATAAGATTACCAAGTTCATGAAAAATAGCAACATCAGCAGTCACAATAAATGAAAGAGCAAAAAGAAGAATAAGAATGATAAAAAGATTGAATTTTCTGATCTTCTAGTGATACAATCTGCTGCTGTCAATGCAGCAATTGCTTTGTCAGCAATTACTGACATTATCTCCAAGTTTTGATTTCTCAACATGTGTGTAAGTTTTCATATAATGAGGAAAAAGCAGTCTATTATTCAATGAAAAATCTATGACAGTAACCTCAAGATTCATACAGCAGATGACAGATACAGTCATATCAAAGAGATTGAAAATCTCATTCTAGAATCTAACAGAGGGGATATATCTACATGTGATGTTCATTATGTTCTGAATCTTACTGTCAACTTAGTGTCTTTTGCTAAGT